CAATGGCAAAGGCAACGGCAATGGTAATGGCAATGGCAATGGCAAAGGCCATGGAAAGAAACAGACACCGAAAATAGATTATTTAAATATGGTAATGGCAATGGCAATGGCAAAGGCCATGGAAAGAAACAGACACCGAAAATAGATTATTTAAATTCAAAGTTAGTAGTACATACAAATGATTCAAACTGGACATGTCTTTGAACGTATCAGGGTGGAGAACGGAGATCTGGTTGTAGCCAAGTCCTCTGTAGAAAAAGTGGTTAATATGCGAAACAACGGATATTCGCCTAATAAATAAGATGGAGTATCTTTCAAACAATGTTATAGAATGTAAGTTATTACGTGACGGAGGATCAACCAACCAACCAACCAACCAACCAACCAACCAACCACCCACCCACTCAGTCAAATAAAAATAAGTACGCTCACAACTAACAGCACACGACAAGGAATTACTTGGAAGTCAAGCGTATATTTGGAAAACGCTCTCATACATTTTTTTCATATTGCAATATGTTGGGTGCCTTGATGAATACTATCGACTGGTGTAAGTGGCTTTGAAAGTTTAGGTCTAGTTTTCGAGAAAATAAGCGGTAAACGATTTCTATGATGTCATCATTACGTCATAATGAAAAGGTCGCTTTAAACTAATTTCTCATTTTTGAAACCTTTAATCTTTTCCTGACATTGTGTGATATGTGATTGAAGATCGAGTTATTTTAGACGAAGTTGTAGCCGTTTCAATGCGGCTAGGTGTGCCAGACCAAAGCTACCCAGAGCCTCGTTAAGCTCTCTTTGCGTTGTCCTCATCCAACATTTTGTTTCACTCATCAAGAACGGGGCGAGTAGAGACGCATGAGATTGACTCGTTTTGGAAAAAAATCCGCAATATGATAGACTAATCGTTTTTCTTCAAGATACGGGTCCAAAATCTGTTGCGCGACGAATAGATGTTGTGATACGAGAAATTACTTTGCAGCTTAGAAGGGGCAATGTTGCATGTCGGGAATACATTTGCTCAAACAGAATGGAATAATAAATACAGTTAACACAGATATATGTTCATACAGTGTTGTAAGCATCGTCGTGTTGCGAAAAATCTTATCAGGCAGTTCAGTTAACTTGTTTGTCTCTAATAATCTGAAAAGAAAATAAAGTTAGAGGTAGTACAAGTCATAAAGTTCTATGTTGTTATCAAAGCTTCCCGCCGGTAAAGACATCAGTTGGTTTTGGTCCAAAGAACTGATACAAGAGTCAAATAGTATCTTTCCAAAGTACACATCCAGTCTTTTCGTTGAATTCATTCATATTTTTTAAACAAAAAATTGTTCTATAAACTAAGAACCTACAAAATTGATAGTAGTTTGTTGTTATCGAGAAGTCCAGGGGGTAACGATTTCAGTTCATTTTTGCTCAGATATCTAAAACAAAAGCAAGTATAATAATCAGAAACTTGATATAATATAGGTAATTTTGAAATTTCGTATACATAATGTATACATAATTGAACGTAAAAAAATTCGAGAGAGAACGAACTGGGAGCGGCCGACCAATAGTTTGCTACTTCTTATTGTATTTTTAAAATTCCAGTTCCTTCTCTCTCCATTTTTTAACGTTAGTTAATAGAGGGGAATGGTTAGGAAACCTATTGTTATTAGGTCTTTGTTCGCTTTTGATGTTGAACCGGTCTTGACAGTGCACAATGTTTGATTTATTCGAAATTGCAAAATAAGTAAACATAAACTTTGTCTATGGGATTGTTGTAAGGAATATTCAAATATCTGAAACTACTGAAAGTACTTCAAAACACAGAATGTGTGAATATTGTGTTCGTGGCATGTCTTTCTACAGGATCTGATAAAACGTTTTAAAACTCACTAAGGGAAAATGAACTAGTTCATTTTGTCTTGATTTGGTTTTATGAATTCTTGACCGAAACATCCATCCCTCGAAGACACTGAAATATATTCTAGCGATTATCTCTTTGAATTTTTTATCTCTACCTAACACTTTCACCGCCCTCTTGGCCGTACTTTTTTCAGAATATCATATGACATGAAATACTTATAAATATCTTAGCTGTAGGTTGTTACGAAATATTCCAACAGGCAATGTCTTCAATGAATTGGAATTTAAATACCTGAAAAAGAAGATAGATTCGAGTCATATAACAATAATAATATGGAATTAATAACAGTCCCAAATCAAGACAAATCGTCTTATAGTTTTTGGTCTACTTGTATTCTGGTGATCAGCATGTGACTTCATTGCTGCCATTTTGGTTGATTTTGAACAAAAATGGTCTTGGTACTGTCGTCTTTTATCTCATGCCAACCATTATGGCGACCACGCCTTTTGAAAATATTCTTTTATTTTCATGGGAAGGAATGTAAGACAGAAAAGACTTATCTCATTGCAAAAATACCTATCTTGTTATCGCACGAGATAAGTTTTTAACTCTTTGCAGTTTACTGCTGATTTTCTTTTAGATGTATCTTTTATAGTTTTTAGCTATTTTTGTTCTATGGATTTGAGATTTGAGTTATGAGTTTTGATGAAGCCCTTTGTTCCCCTTTCACTCAATAAGAAATTATTGAATAAGTTAACAGGTAACAGGTTTCTTCACAAATAAAAAGGTTTGACCTTCCAAATGCATAAAAGTTCCCATGTTTACTGATAACCCTCGCCTTTGAAGCTCTAGCAGCCCTTCACTCATAAAAATATACCTTCCCGAGATCTAGTCACTCGACTTTAATAAGAAGTTTGTCTATTATTTGAGCCAAAATTTCTCGTAATCAGAAAGTAGGGGTCATTTTTTCAAACTTTAAGACGCATTTAACCTGAATGGAAAAGTGGAACGTAAGGAAAGAATAGAACAAACACTATAGAGGCTTTGCACTATCACGTGATGACAGCCATGACATGCGCAGTAGGCAGGAACAATTGAAACTGGTCTAAACTGATATACATGAGAAAGAATTGAGTTTCCCAGGGGGTATGAGTCTCTATTGTTATGGCTACTTTCATGGCTGCCATCAAGTGACGATGCAAAGTCTATATGTCAGCTGAGTTTTCCTTTATAACGAACGCAAGGTCAACCAATCAGAATTTAGGATTCGATATTGCTTTTTGTGATAGAAACCACAAAGTACGACTGAATTTTTCATTCTTTTAAATTGATCGTGAACGCTAGTCCAACTCATGCTGGAATTCCATAACTTTCAATCGACAAAAGAAATCTAAATTAATGTCTCTGATAGGGAAAATGCTAACCAAAATTAGTCTTATCCAACTATAGTGGTCTATTCTCGATGCTGCGCTCTGATTGGATGAGCTACTACTAGGCTATAAGTTATACTAGTCGTTGCAATATGCAAATGGAATACTGCGAGTGCCATACAATGATGTGAAGGGATGTATACCAATGTTAATAAGATATAAGTAGTTACGTACAACAAAATTTGCAAACCGGCTAGATACAAGTAGCAAGGACGCCATGTAATGTAAACAAAATTAAATTTATTATTAAAGACGTGAATTTTGTGTTTCGTCATAGTTGGAGTTACCCAATTGCCAGTTAAATCTACTAATTTTTCAGCCGAATGTCAGTTATCCGTAATAGTTTAAAGAGAGCTGGCCATACTATTGATGGTTATCACGGCCGCCATGTTGGAGGAATTTAACAAGAAAGATTCGTCATCACTCTCTTTTGTTATATAATTTGCAAAACCGTATAGATACAAGTAGCAAGAACAAACGTGTTGTAGGGCATTACTTATGTTTGTATATGAATATGTTCCTGTAGATGTTATTGAGATATTAAGGTGCAAGTCCATGATAATAGTGGGAAAACAACACAGTGTCTATAGTGTATAAGGAATTAAAGCGACTATAATTGTATACAAAAAGTAAATGGTACACAACTCTTTTTGTAAATACATGCAAATCAACAATTAGAGAAGAATACAAGAGAGGTTATAAATATCATAACGTAATAAAAATAGGTGTCATGGAGGTCAAGTGGCTGGTGTCTTTATAAAAATCAATGTACAATATTATGCAATTCAGTGCAACGCATAAATACATTAATTACTATAGCATATGGAACAATAACTTTACAAAACAATTATTGCTGTTAAATAGATGCATATTCGATCTCCTTCGGCAAGGATGTGATCTACAGTGGCGGCAGTAGTTCTGTGTTCTGAGCGCATAATGCTGAAAGACTCATAACACAACATTGTCTTCCTCGTGAACTGTCACTAAATCCTTCGTGACCTCGATGAATGCTTCCAGCAATAAAYATTTTTGAATTAGACTATTATTACAGTGGGAAAATTGTATTTCAGCTTAACTCGCACTTTATTGATCTTGCACTTTGCTGGTCTCGCACTTTGTTGATCTCGCATAGACAGCATACTACTCTTATTCGAGTTATCTCTGGCTTGTATGTTAAAATTGTTCAGTGACTACTGCACACCCCTACCTTAGTAGTCTAGTAAAACATCATTGATCAAACTTACAGCTTAATGAGTTTTCGATTGTGATCAAAGATTCCAGGAGGTAGGAAAGTCAGTTGTATATCCGATAGGTGTCTAAATGCGAAAAGAGACAGATGGGAAATAATTATCAGTACGGACAGTCGGACAGCATAGTGTGACATTCAATATTATGATCTTTGGTCGTGATTTCATGGTTAGTGGAGAGACTTGAGTCAGTTTTACTTTTACTACTAAATTTTAATCCCTGAATGTCCTCTGGATAAAACATTTTACTGTCTCCAAATTGTATCGCCATAACGTTTTTCAATGCCTTTTTACCAAGACTATGAATGAATGAATGAATGAAGGAAGGAATGCGGAACGAGCGAACGAACGAAATGACGGACGGACGGACGGACGAATCATCGATCGATACTTGTTTTAAAGCTTACAATGTGTACAGTTGTTTGTTGTTGTCGAAGAGTCCAGCAGGAAGTGACTTCAGTTGATTGTTCCTCAAGGATCTAAAGCAGAGAATAGTAAAGATGACAACGAGTACAACGACAACGACGAAGAGCCGAAAAAAACTCACAAATATTGAATCTTTGTATTGTTATCAAAGATACCAACAGGAAGTGACGTCAGTTTGTTATACTGTAGATACCTGAAAGAATGAATGTATGAAAGAATGAAAAAGTTAATGAATGAATCAATGGCGAATCGAATGAAATAAGAATCGAATGTCTTTACAATTAACGCAAAAGGCTGAATAACATTTAACCCTTTCTTTTTAAGACGCCTAACAACATTTTTACTGGTATGACATGAGTTTTTGGTTGTGGTCAAAGATTCCAGGATGTAACATCATCAGTTGGTTATTCAATAGATATCTAAATGCGAAAAGAGTCAGATGGATAATAGATAAATAAATACACTGTCTGACTGACTCTTGGCAAACGTTAATAATGGCAATAATAATAATAATAATAACAATAATGATAATTAAAAT